ATGGAAAGAGGGAGAGCTGGTCCCCTGAGAACACCTGAAAAATTTCCGTTGGTAGTGGTCATAGCTATACCCTTTAAGCTCAGACTGTTGTTCATGTACAATGTATCATTCCTCCTCATACCTCTGTTTTTCACACCAACAAACATATTGTTTATTGCTTATAAACAAAAGAGTATTTCACTTATATATATATATTTATTTCATTCAAATATGTACCTTTCAACTCTAATAAATTATTATCAACATAATGAAAGTAAAATCTGTATAAAGAATGTAGTTCATACATACCTGCATGTTTGTTTGTCAGTCTATCTTTATGATTTGTTTATTTATCTGATTGCCAGTCTACTGCTAATGTCTATTTATGAATGCATTAATAAATAAACGTCTAGCATAGAACTATATAACACTATAAAAATATTATCAAACATTGGCTAAAGAAATTCTACATATAATAATATGAAAGTGTTTAAGCCGAATGTGTTTAAACAACATTAAAGGTAAATATATATATATATAAATATATATATATAATAAAAATAATTAGAATGCTGTAAATTGACTGTACATAATTAATAAACATTACTACAAATGAATTGTAAACATTATAAATATCGGAATGAAAATGTTGCTATTGTTTTTAACTTTGGGTCCACAAATTGGTGCAAATCTTACGCGGACTTCTACAACAATAAATAGACTTCTACTGTTATTATTTCTCAAATAATTGGTAAATTTAAAGATTAAAAAGACATTATTTTTCGAGGTTAGATATTTGCAACATGAAAAAAAAAGGTATGGGAGTAGGGGAAAGAAAATGTTATGTGAAATACCTTGAACAAGAATTTAACCCACAATAGTAATTCATTACACACATTATAAAGAAACATTCCGTATTCTTTAGGCATACAAGAGAAAGGAAAAAAAGGAGTACGGTTGACCATGGGGAAACCTGGAGGAGAAGAGAAGCAGGTTAACCAGGGAGGTAAATAGTTTACAGTCTGGCAACGTGGCATGGAAGAGCATCTCAATCTAGAATGAGTAACACTACACGAGAAAGAAGGTATTGAAAAGGTATGATTAACATCGACTTTATGAAGAAGACATGAAAGTACATTATGCCCCCTCTGAGGCAAGACAGTAGTCCTTCTGTGAGGCGTTATCGTCCCTTTGAGACGGCAAAAATCTCACAGACCTTTAGTTTTCACTTTTCCTTTCGTGTAAATTCTCTCCTGATCTGTGCCCTTTCGTTATTTATTTAAGTCGCTGTCAATGCCTAGAATATTCTCTTCTTACTTCAGTGAATTTATCAAAGCCGTCTTTAGAAGAAATATTGGTTTAATGTAGAAGATCCACAGGGGATTCTTCACAATTTGACCTTAATTTTAAATTGAAAACTAGCATGAGTAAAAGTTGACAAAATTTACTGAAGTAAATGTATATGGCTTTGGCTAGGAGGCATTACTTACATAGCGAGCTTATTAGCGAGTGAGTGAGTGAGTGAGTGAGTGGGTGAGTGAGTGAGTGAGTGAGTGAGTGAGTGAGTGAGTGAGTGAGTGAGTGAGTGAGTGAGTGAGTGAGTGAGTGAGTGAGTGAGTGAGTGAGTGAGTGAGTGAGTGCGTGAGTGAGTGAGTGCGTGAGTGAGTGAGTGAGTGAGTGAGTGAGTGAGTGAGTGAGTGAGTGAGTGAGTGAGTGAGTGAGTGAGTGAGTGAGTGAGTGAGTGAGTGAGTGAGTGAGTGAGTGAGTGAGTGAGTGAGTGTGAGTGAGTGAGTGAGTGAGTGAGTGAGCGAGTGAGCGAGTGAGCGAGTGAGTGGGTGGGTCAGTGAGTGACTGTGACTGAAAGAAGGAAGTAGTAAATGAGGAGTGGGAAGAAGCGATAGAGAAATGGGGTGAGTGATTGAACAACAGTGTGAAAGATTGGCAGATGGATGAGTAAGTAGTGAACGCGTTACAGGATAAGTGAATGGGTCAGCGTATGAGTGAGTTAGCAGCCACATATGCTCAAGTTAGACAATTTTTACAGTTGTAAAATCCTTTATTATATTGTGTGGGTTCTCAGTTCGGACCTGATTAATTAATTCCGGTGTCATTAGCTGCTTTGAGAAAACCAGGGATTTGACTTGTTGACATTTAATTAGAAATTTGATTACACTGTCTCTACTGGGCGGTGTGCATGTCTGGGCGTCAGCTATAAACGTAGCAGACCGGACAGTGTCTGCAAACCCCTCGGCCAAGTGATTCAGGAGCAGGGTAGTCTTGTCCCCGAATGTCAGTGTAGAATACCTGCACTGGGTCCCTCTTGACGTCAGCTCAACGAGAGGCATGCACGGAACTAGGAAAGATACTGCGTCTATGGGCCAGCCCTCGAAATTGAAATAAACTTGCAGACGAGGACAAGCCTGACGAGCGAGCTTCCAACTGTCCGAGCTGATAATACTCCAGCCTCGCGTGTAGTCAAAAGACGTCATGAAGATGAACAAATTCTTCAGACTGTCTTCGAGGTACTCGCAGAGGTCCACCACATTTGCGGAGCTCAGGTATGAATAGTTAAGTCTTATCTCTTGAAGTTTCCAGCATTTACCACAAACAGATCTTAGCTGCTTGCCAATCACACCAGTAGTCACCTCGATACTGTAATAATTCAGAAGATCCAAAACCTCTAGCGTTTTCACCGATTTGCTACGTTCAAAGCTCTTCATAATTCTATAAGCAAACGGGGGAGTCAAGAAAGCGTGGTGTATACTTAACATTTTCACGTTTGTTTGTGTCTCCAAAAATTCCGCTATGCAGTCCACTAGCAGACATTTTGATGACCGAAAAAAGCTCCAGGTTTCCTCAAAGAAAAGCTGGCACATCTCGAAGGATTGTATCGTAGATCTACCGTACTGCAAGCACGACAGTCCGCTCAGGAGCGTGTCCACGCATTTAGCTACGTTATAAGCTGTAAGCAGGTTAGGGGACGGACATACGATTCGAAGGTGCTGCATATATACGCCCATGGTGTCGACATATTTCGTCAGTGTCTGTAAGAATAACGAAAAGATTTTAAACTGTTGTCTCTGTCAACTCAATACTAACCTTAACAATTTTCTGGATATATTGTGTGATTTCCAGTGGCCGTTAGGAAAGAGCAGTTATGCGGTGACCAGTCTGCAGTGGCGTTGGAAACTCTCTCTACTAAAATCTAACGATTGTGGTTTAAGGTTGTTCAACGTATTTCACAGTTATTAACGTACTATGCTTTGGTTCCCGCAAAGGGCGATTTGGAAACCGATTGTTCTCGTGGCTTTCGGACTGTGGTACAAAAGTAACATGGCGAAAGAGACTGGGGCCTTATCACCTAATACTCCCACAAAGAGAGGCGAAAGCATATGTTAAAGGCAAGTAGCCTCCATCGGGGATTGTTTTTAATAACTTTGAAAACACTGGAATATTACTTTCTTTTAGCCGCACCAGTTACCTTAGCACCAAAGTTGACTCAACCTTATATGGATGCCATGTAAATTTCTGCAGACCACATCGCCCATGGAGTGCCTACTGGTCTATCAAATTAAGGTCTAGCCCTATATGTCCAGTTTGCCTAAAGGCGTAGAAAAGAGTCCGGTTACTTTAGCCTCACCAGCAGGAGATTCGAAGCGGCATAGGTAACAGTTGCCGCAGGTTTCTGGCGGTACGCAGACGCGGCATTTTTTTTTTTTTTTTAAAGCGCTTCCGTAAAAAACACTTTGTGATGAGTACGCTTATATTTTTTTCCAAGGACTATGTGGAGGGGTATTGATTTTGTTAGTATTCTGTACATAAATCGCATCTCTGTGACCTTTAATTTCTTTAAACTTTGTTGGCCTGGTTAGCCTTTTCGGCAAACTTATATTTAATACGACTTAAGGCTCCCCAAAAAATTGTAATAATTAATATAGTCACTGGGTATCAGTGTAAAGAGGGATCCATACATTTTGACTATAAAACTCTCTAGGACAGTGTTTCCCAAACATTTCTTAGTCGCGGCGCCTTTTTTCATTAAAAATTTTTCCATGGCGCCCTAATCTAAGTAAAAGTATGATTTGTCGTATGTAAGAGATTTTAAGAAAAAAACTCGTGTATCTTTGAATATTTCGCGGCGCCCCTGTGAAGAGGTCGCGGCTCCCTTGGGCGCCGCGGCGCACAGTTTGGGAATCACTGCTCTATGATATCTCTCTCAGTTTAAAAAGCCAAATGTTAGATTTGTATTCCACATTTAAGTCACAAACATTTGACGAGCATACTCAGCTCTTGCTCGGTAACATAAAAGATGTACTGCAGTAAAGGAAGGTAATTTGCTATAGCAAAACACTCCGGGTAAGACTGTATGCTGGTATATAAATGACATAGTTAACATAATGTGTGATCCTAGGTTAACTAGCTGCATACTGAACGTAATAATGTAACCGCTAGGAGCTTCCAAAGCCAGTCGTGCTGGTGTCCGTTTATCGCCGGTGTCTTTCCTCCAATGCCTGGAATTAACCTTAAATATCCACAGCTTCAATGTCTTCTCTCGTCTGTAGCTTAGGGATTTCTAACGCGCTTCGTAATGCCAGAGTGCCAACCGGGCCGTCTGAACATATGAGCCCGCTGGGCACTTGCCCGAAAGGGGGGGGGGGGGGCAAGAGCATAAGGGCTCTATGCTAATATCTGCATGTAAAGTGACTTGCCATTAATAAAAGTACATTTGACGTTTACATTAACTCTAATAAGGTTAGTTGCGTATTCTTTACAGGACGTTGCAGAACCAACCCAAAAAGCCCATGGCTATTGTGTGATTTTTCTAGACAAATTTACGTCCAGTAGTTTGCCATTGCTGCTGGACGGTCGGCTTTCTTAATACCACTGTCGAAACAAACGCAAGCGCATGGCCCGCAGCTGGGATCGAACCCGGCATTCCGGAATTACGAAGCGTTCGCAATGACTTAGCCACAGAGCAGACATTCTATCTAATATAACACCCAAATGATATCCCCCACTCA